TCCTGATTTGATCATCACATATTGTACACAAATACTGATAGTCAACTCTGTACCCCACAAACATGTATAATCAATTGTTTCAATAAAAAAAGTGGAAAATGATTCTTAGTACACAAGCCACACAGAAACAAGTAGTGGGACAAATTTGGCCAGTGGGCCATAGAGGGCTGACCCGCGTCCTAGTGGATACCTCAATACACCCCCTGTTGCAAGGAAACAAGGGCTGGTTTCCAAAATGGGAAGCATTTTGAAGTTTTCTCACCTATTTCAAAATCTGTGTTTAGCTAGATACCTGGTCCATGAACAAGTCTTAAAAGAACCAAGCCCAGGCCTGGCTGCCTAGTAGAATGACAAAATTTGGGGCTCCACAGAAGTCCTCCAGTCTATATTCTAGACTTTACATGTGACCACATTTAAACAAACTTAGGCTCCTTTTTATTTTAAAAAAAGTATGCTAACTCCTAGAGTAAAGGACTTCATCATCTTTTTCCAAAATCATTCATTTCATGTTGGCCAACTTTAAGAGGTGCGATGCAATGCTCCTCAGCGTAATCTAACTACCTACTGTTGTTGGAGAGAGTTATCTATTCTCCCACACATGTGCACCAAAGGGCAAATAATGGCAAGTCTTCGTCTCTAGGTTTTCTTTTAAGTCTTCCTCTCCTGGGGCAGCTATGACCTTAGGTGTGGCTCGTTTTCTTCTCTCTAGATGGAAGGAGTTAATGTTCTGGAGTTCCAGGGGCAGTGTTTGCTGATGTGGTTCCTGAATGCCTCCAGCAGCTCAGGTTGAAGCACCGCTCTCCCAACAGTATTTAAAAATAGAGACTGAAATCAGCTTAACATAGCAGTTTTCCCAGGATGCCGGAGTAGGCATAAAAAAAAAAAAATAACACAGAGTGATTCTTTCTGGGGTCTGCCAAAACACTTAATTTTGAGGCCATGGTGGGATTCTGATATTCTAAAAATTTTCATTGGTGGGGAGTTGTGCTGGCTTGCATAGCTTAGCACTGTGTCTTGTGTATAGTAGACTCTCAATGAATGTGCAACAAATGAACAGAATGAGGGTTTTGAAGAGTATTTTGTCTGAACAGGAATTCTGGTTTCTTTGCAGGCGAACAGCCTTTTGGGTTGCATCTCTGTTCTTTATAGAAACATGTGATATTATGGGTGAAGAGTTCCCCTTTGAACCAGGCAAACCAAATATAGCCTTAATTTTAAGACAGGAGAATACACATTGCTCCTTGTCTCAATGGCTGCCACTGGCTCAGTGTTATTTTAAAAGAGGAATCCAGCTTCCCTGGGCTTTGCCAAGGCCTGCCCAGTCAATAAGTGTGTGTTTTGTGCTGCATTTGCAATCAGTCCTGCTGGAAGCAGGGACTGTTCAGCGTGTAGAAGAAGTCAGCCCCAACCCAGCTCAGGATGCATTCCTGGGCCATGGGAGAGGGTACTGGGAGTTAGAAGGGGTGGGAGAAGAGGAGGCTGGGGCTCTGTGTTACTCTTTTTCTTTGTGAGATAAGCAGGGGGTTTGTCAATTTTTAAGATCCCATCCTTATTAACACTTGGTGGGTGGGGTAGCAGGGGAAGAACGAGGGGAACTTGGAAAGAGGCTGCTCTCTGACAGTGATTAAGCCCTGGAGAGAGAGACACATATTTGCAGAAAATTGAGAAAAATTTTTTAAAAGATTGTTGATAACATCCAAATTAATTCCATGCCCTTGATGCTGAAAGCACTTCTCCTCTGGTACAGAAAGGGCATCTTTGTTTGTTGGTATTAGATTCTGAGCTCTTTAAAGTTTGAATTCTACTGACCTCTGAAGCCCCAGCACCCAGCATGAAGCATGACATATAGCAAGTGCTTAATACATGTAATTGACAGAGTGCACATTGAATGAGCAAGCAGGAAACATGCTGAGCACCAGAAGCTTTCTTGGATATGGGAGAAATTTAGTCTTTCCTCAATACTATCCCAATTATTCCCCAAGCAGAGACTGGCTGTCTCTGCAAAAACGTAGCAGCAGTCTGGACCCAGGATAGTGGCTTGAAAAGGTGTGAAATGTGTTCAATTTCAATCTCTTTGCTGAAAGTATTTGGAAAAATGCATTGTCACTGCTCATGTCTCTTCGGCTTATCATGTCTTCAGTAGTTTCTTATTAAAGGGAATTTAGTTTTTAGACCACTGGGAAACTTGTATCAAGCTTTAGCTAGAGCAGCAATTCTCAACCCTGGCGGTATGTTGGAGCTTCCTGAGGGGATTTTAAAAATCCCAATGCTCAGGTGCACCCCACAATAATTGCATTTGAGTTTTGGCACGTGGGACTCTGGACAAGCCTTGCAGGTGATTCAAACGTGGGCAGCTGAGGCTAAGCCACCGCAGGGTTAGAGGTTGAGTTTACCTGTGCTGGAACGATAGCACCAAATAGCTGCTCTTCTGATTGCAATTTAGCAGTCAAACTAGGGGACTTTTGAGGGCAGAAATCATAATCCTGTGGATTACATTATTTGATTGAAGTCAGCACTTTTTATTTATTTATTTTTTTAAATTTATTTTTTATTATTTTTTTTTCCTTTTTGTCTTTTTTCGTGACCGGCAACGGATCGCAACCCTC